CTTCCACATGAGCTATAATAAAATGAAGGACAAGATACAATACTCCCTCATTTTCAGTTGTCTATCTCCATTACATGCCCTTTTATTCTCTTCTTCTTTCTTCTCTCTCCCAACTGTTTGTTTTTAAAAGAACGAACACAGAGGCATGAAAAGAACTAGATGCATCCTCCTGTCTAATCTCTCACCTGATGTAGCTTAAGTGACATCCGTATTCCAGGAACCACTACTTTTCTCAGCAATTCCATATCTGCAAAGATCCATTCATCTCTAATTGAAGATATACGGAAGTCACCCTTAAATAGGGCATGCAGGCCATACAAGAAGGATTCCAGATTACTGCAGGGGTGAGGGGAAGAAAAAAACAGTCCAGATATTAACAGAAATGCAGACATATCTACAATTATCATCACTGACCAGAGCAGAAAATATTGAGCTGTACAGAAAGGTACACAATTCTTTTCTATAAAGATAACTTACTGGCTAAGACAGCGAGAAGAGGACATATGAGTAAGGATGTGTGTGTAAGCAAAGCCTGGACACCAGATGCCTATGTGCACTGAACAGGTAATGAATAAACCATACATGCAACAGACTATTTACACGGACTAAAGTAAACAAGAACACGGTGAAGAATGCCTAACTTTATTCTGAAGATTTTTAAAGAGAAAACTTTTCAGGGAATATAACACCAAAATGGACCAGTTAAGGAGGATATGTAGCTCCAGCTGTGCATGTTTTAGTCCAGAATAAGAATCGTGACAACCTCCTCATTCTTAAATGCATTGTTTCCTTTTACCAGGCTAACTTAAGAGTGAAAAAAATCAAACACTCTGACCACTCTCGCGACTGCATATCTGCAAGACCTTCAGGGGGTAATTGGCTGGTACTTAGGAGAATTAGTCAACAGTTTCCCTGAAAGCGAAGTAGAACAGGTTTTACAGTCAACACCTGGCTGACCAATAGCTTCCACGGCTGATTACGCTTCTTTTTATTTTCTTTTTAAAACATCAGCTTGTGATTTCCTGAAACATTCAATTATATTTTAAACTGGCTTTCTAAAGTAAGTTTAGGCTATCAGCCTGCAAGAAAGAGGTGGTCATATGATGACAGAGTTGAGCTGAAGGAGATTTGTACAAAAAACACAACTGCTTGCCACAGAGCCAGCTACACTGTGAAACTTATCATAACAGTCTGATCTAACTTCCATCAAGACATGCGTTCTTCCTTTTAAGAAGCTGTCCTCTTCTTCCCCCTATTTCCACATAGGGCACACACTTGGATCAAGAAACAGATCTTACTTTTAGAACTCAATCATTCTTGGTTTTTTTCACCAGTTATAACCAGTCCTTACACACACCAGAATTCTCACCTTGCCTTAGTTTGACAAAACAAAATGCCGAAATTCAAGTTCTCCCTTACTTGCTGTTCTTTGGTTAGATTTCACTGGCTGTTCTAATGAAGACAAGTTACATAGTACATCTGTCCAGTTTAAGCAAAGATGACATTAAATATCTGTTTCTTTTATGAAGAAGTACTCATCTAATACCTAACCTAGGAACTCAGCAAGATTTTGAGGAAGGGAAGCTTACAACAACAATATTTTATTACCTAGACATATGATGTGAAGCTGTTCCCAACGCTCTCCGCCCCAGGACACACAGTCCATAACACAATGTCACCAGGGGCGAGTCTTTACTTGAATCCAGTGGCTTGTAAAAAACAAATAAAACAAAACAAAAAAAGAGAGCATAGTCAGGTGCATAGAGTAAAGAAGTCGCCACAGAAAAACCATTCTGCCAGAAGGAGTAAAAAGACCCAAACACATACACAGGTACACAAACTCAAGCGTGCAAATGTACCTACCACACCAGTTACTCTCACTCAGACTTTCAACAGGAATTCTTTTAAAAGTTTTGCAAGTACAGAGAATATTTGTAAAAGCAAACACACACACACTATATTTGAAATAAGGCAAATTGTAAGCTGAAGAGGTGCATGCAACATTCCTCATGGATACTGCATATCTTGTACGCAAACTGTTGATTAGGAAAATTATGGGGTTAAGACAAAAATAGTTTTAGTGAATAAAGTGGATTCTCAGTTACTGGTTAGGAGTATATAATTCCGACTTAACTGAAAACTGCCCTGGACTATGCCTTTATCCAGGGGAAACTCGCCCTCAGCTGAAAGCCAGTAGTAGCTGTATAGGGTATATAATGCCCTAGATAGTAGTATCATTCATTTAGGTGATTAAACCTGATTTTCAATACCTACACAAAGTATTTCACAAGATCGTGGCTTGGAGGGAAACAATTTTCTTCGGCTGTTTGTCATTTGACTGCAGAATACTATAAATCTTACACCTGTTAAAATGGGCTTCCAATTAATCTTTTACCTCCAAAGTAAAACTGAACTCTGAAGTCTCAGATCCTTCATTAAACACATGAATTCTAATTATATTCCTGTCCCTTTAATCTCAATCAAGTTCTGCTTATTCTCAAAGGCAACACTACTCTGACTAGATCACATACAGGTTTTTTGTAAGCAGTAAGAAGTCAAGGCATTCCTTTACTAAAACACTGATGTTTTTATCTAAAAGGTGGAAGGATTTGAAGAGAGAAAAAGGGTCAAATATGGGATGATCATTTTTACAAGCCAACAATTCCAGTGGTCCAAAGAAACTGGCAACAGGTATTTGGTGGGTTTGGGTTTTTGTTTTGGTTTTGGGTGTTTTGTTTAAGTTAGGGTTGATTTGTAAACTCTGACATCTAAGCACAAAACATCAATTCTACAAACATACCCTTTTGTATGTAGATAAATACCTGACTAAGATTAAACTGATTCATTTGAGCTGCTAAATGCAAATTCATTAATGAATAAGTTAAATCATACACTATTTACAGAATTTATTTAAATTCACATCTCAAGAGTAGAAGATCAAACCAGTAAACTATAAATTAATATTTAAATATTATTTTCAAAATCAGTATTAAACCAGCCTGTAAGTCAAATCAATAGGGAAAAAATGAGACCATCCTAGAACAGTGGATGGCTTTCCTGACATGTTCATACTTACTTTTTCTCTTCGAGAGCAGCAATATTCTATCCAGTTCAAATATATCATACAGAAACTCTCTCTCGAGATCCCTGCTAGACGGTGATCATAATCCTCATCAATATTGGGGTTAAATGTTGGGTCTACATCAACATAATTGCGGTCTGTGCACAACCGCAGTCCTTCCTGCATTGTCTCATTAGCTAACCATTCCTCTAGCTTGGGGGATGTTGTGACATAATAGATGATTCCCTGAAACAGTAGTAGTTAAAAATGAGTCAGTGTGGCAATAACAAAAAAAGAAACCAGTAGCAATCGCAATTGTTTCAACTCATGCATCATTTTCGTGGTAACAAACAAAACTGATATACAGTAGCATTTATGTAGCTTACAGATGCAACAAATTTGCACAGAAAACAAAATACAGGTTTGTATACAGGCATATTTTTCAAAGACTGTCAAGATTTCCGAAGCATGCATTGAAGGAATAAGAAAAGGAAAAGAGGATGGGACTGGACTCTCACTATAATTTTGCAGAAAAACAAATACATAGGAATTTTTGTCTAGTTAACACGGAGGCTTAGATACTGAATTTATAAAGAATTCAAAAGGTAAATAAGAGACAAGACAGTTTAACACCTTTGTGCTTGCGTGGGGTTCTGGTGGGCAGGGAACATGACAACTTGCGTGTGTGCAAATGAATAAGTACCTTGGAAATACTTCAACCTGAAAATTTTTAGCTGTCTGAAAGAGGGTAGCTTATGAAAGATCTCGATTAGCGAGCCAACTATCTGAAGGGATCTGAGCCCTGGCGTCCTCTTACGACTGCAGGGCAGTTTTGGTGTTTGGTGGTGGTGTGTTTTGTTTTTTTTTTTTCTTTTTTTAAGCAAAGATAGGTTTGGACAGCTTTTAAAGACTGAAGCAGCTTGGCTTTCTCCAAGAGAAACACACTATTTATTTAACTTCTCATTTACAACACAGCTATTACATTTGGGTAACAGCTTTCAAGTTTCTACTCCAGCTTCAGCTAGAAAGTGTCCTCTGTCTGTTCTAGACTACAGCGTCATTGTCCTGCTCATGCAGCAGAGTATCAAGTAATCATCAGTACAGCAAACTCTGCCCTCCTTTGAAGGTGTTCATATATTTATAGTTTATATCACATTCAATGATTCTCATATGAAAGACATTAGAAGTTCAAGACATTAAGCAGTTCCCAGATGTAATCCAGCCTACCTTCCCCCCAAGGGTTGTACTGATCCAAATCATACCTTCACATAGTAAGTGGTGAGAATTTTCCGGAGATCGAAGACTTGAAGCATGGAAGCTGCACTGTTGTCAGTGATGCTATAACCCTCCAGCACGTACTTTGTCACAAGCACTTCCCAAGCCAGCCAACGCTGCCCAAAGGCAGCATTAAAGGAAAGCATGTGAGGAAGGTGGCCTGGTTCACAGCAACAAAACCCTTCATCTTCCTCTACACCTTCAGTGATGGCCTCTACTTCTCGTTGCTGGCAATATGTTCCTTAGGGGAAAATAGAGAAAAGAAGAATTGAACACTTTATATGATTGCTTTAATGTTGACTTGTGTTTAAAAGTGTTTAGAATCCAACCCACCTCCAATTACATTTCTGTAACACTAAGTGAGCTATCTGCACAAAACACAAAAGATTTGGATAGCTTAATTTATCGCGCTAGGATCACATTTTAGTTAGGTGTCTCTAAGAATCAATTATGGTAGCCATGTTGCACTAAAATGGAAAGAGAGACTTAGCATCAAATCTGCTAGGGCAAGCTAGTTTTCCTCACAAGTGACAGGGGCATAAAGAGGCCCTGCTCCTGCAGCCCATTTTCAAAGCAATTAATTTACAGGATGGAACTGAAAATAACTCAAGTTCCCAAAGCAGAAGTCCACTTTTTAGTACAGACAGTTAAGGAAGTGTAACACACTCACCTCTGAATTCAAGCCCCCTCAGCTGGAAGGTGACCAAGCCATTTCCTATCTCTATAAGGTGTACTAGTGCATTGAGGTAGTCAGAGGCTAGGATGAAGCAGTCCCCCGTACTATAGTTTCCCCACCGACCCAGCAACAAGTCTCCACATAGGCTGTGCTGAAGGGAACGGGTTAAATGTTCATAGAAGATTGAATTCAGGTTGTTATCATCTGAACCTGCAGGAAGATTGGACTCGGGTTATTATCTGAATCTGCAGAAAAACATCAAGCTTGAATGTCAATTATCACTTCACATTGAATCCTACACTTTTCTTAACAGCAACGTTGTTTCAAGGTCATTCTTCACACATCACCTTGCCTTTTTTTAAGGGACAACTACTCCAAATGAATGCTAAGTGACATTTTGTATTTTTGACCAAGTTTTTTCCCTTCTTAGTCACTCCGCCATTTGCCAAATTATTCCTTCGGTTCCAGTCATGCATCTCCCATCAATCTATTCCATGTAATAAAGCACAAAAGCAAATGAGCACCGAAGTATCTCAGTAATGACTGTTGTACTGGTGTTATCACCATGACATTGAGACACTCTGAAATAATGTTAAGCCATTTTAATTACTTCAGAACAAAAAAGCAAAACAGCTTAATGCATACTACAATTATAAATAAAGAAGTAAAGCAGACACACATAAAGGTAAGGGGGAAACAAGAAAAACTTATAGGAGAGTCTAAAGAATAAAGCTAGAGAGGTGACGGAAGAGAAAATACCAGTAGACAGAACAACAGAAAGGTTGGCCAGGGTTGGAGAAGATCAGAGGGCAAATTGATGATGAATCCTATAAAAATCCTATAAAAGCCATTTACATTTGAAAAAAACAACACTATAAAAAAAAAACCACCACCAAACCATACTCCCCCACACCTCCCCCCTGCCCCCAAAAAACACACACACAAAAAAAAACCCCACCACCAAAATCAGACCTGGATTTCGATCAAGCTGCGAAGCTAGTCTTGTATTTGAATGATCCACACGTTTTGTGCTGAAAATAATAAAATTAAGCATACTTAACACGGAACGTATTACTGTAAGAAAATCTAAGGGAAGAAACTATTAACAGAATAAAACTTGTTTAAAAATATTCCCACTGACATAGTTTCAAAAAGTTATTTTAAAATAATTTCATATGCAAATTTGCTACTCTTCTCATATGTAAAAGCAATTTTTGCCTATAATGGCATTATGATCCAATACTAATAAAGTTTGTCCACAGTAGGTAGCCATAGAATAATCTTTAGCTTTAGATATGAATGCATGTATTCTTAGATAGATATCATAAAGCTTTATATGTGACAAACTTAAAAACAATTAAATCAGCACAGCTAACATTCCAGTAAACTTTACTGAATAACTTTCTGAAAGTTGCCCTTTATTTCATGGGCTGAAGTTACAACCTTAACTTTTCAACATAAGATTTGGAACATTGCATTTAAACTGTTCTAGTGTTAGAAGGCAAAAAAAGCAATAAAGCAGTGAAATGAAAAATTAAAAATTAGTTCTCCTTAAATACCAGAACTATCTGCTCCTCTTGCCCTACGCTGTTTATCTAACGTGTCACTGGTCTGATACTCCATCAAAAACAAAACACAAGGAGGTACAAGCGGACACGAAGAATCTTTTACTACTGATCCCACCTTGGTAAAAAAAGATTTACTTTAAAGATTTTTATACTGAGGTTAGCCATTTTTAGTTGTGAAATGAGCAGTAATGAATACAGGTCAAATACAGATTTGGGGGAACAGTTCATAACTTCTTGTACATAAAACTTACCTTCTGATTAAAATTGCACTTTACAATACTGTAATTTTTATGTTTAAAAAAAATTACCAGGATGGTGTACCTCTAAGTAGAAATTACTTAAACAGCTAAAGCAAATGTTGCTAGTATTAAAAAAATAGCTGCAACACTATTTCAGAAACAAGTTCATTGAAAATTTTCAATGCTGTAAACTATAGTCTTCTCGGGGGGAAAAAACTAGTAGCACTTGTAGAAAAAAAAACCACACAACAAAAACAAAACAAAAAACCAAACCAACACATTTAGCCATAGTTACATTACTAAAAACAAAGAACACAAACTTTCAAAGTCTTATTTCACCTACTTGTAGTCTCTTTCCCAGAATTTGACAGGCCTGGCATATGAAGTGATGAATATTGCACTTCCCAGAAAAGGATTCAATGGAGTAGAGAAGAAAGCTGACACAGCTGCTTGGACAAACAACATTGCAGAATCTGTAGGATAACAGAATTAAGGAAAGCGAAGCAACAACTACTTTTTTTTTCAAGCTTCTGTTATAGTACCGGAAATAGACAGCAACACCAATCAAGAGTAAAACATGATCTCTTAGAGTTTTTATGCAGCAAAGTATCTTTACAGTATCTTCAGCAATAAGGAGATTATTTTTGATTTTAAAAACAGAAATAGGTGAAAATTTGTCACTAGACATGGTGGTCGCTCTCTTTCTCAAAATTCTCCCGAGAATAACTCGGCATTTCATTCAAATCCACCTACAGAAGCTTAAAATGCAAAACTCAAGAACCAAAACCATAGTTACTGACTCCTGACAAAGGGAATGACTGCCAGAAGAAAAACTGGGTCATTTTCAGAGTGAAGTAACTCCTGCTCCATGTTTCTTTTGTCAGAATTCTATCTCTACTCTATCTGCTAGTGTATAATTCGTACCATTGTAACAAGGCAGAAAGTGTGCACAGTTTTTCATAAATACTCACTCAACAAACCCTTTCATTCAGTAGATTTAGCCCACAATACAAAATCATCACAATCCAACATTCAGAAGTTATAAATACACAACTTCAGGAAAAAAATATGCGTTTTCAAAGGATACGTGGCACAGCAAAGGGCTGGGCAAAAGCATGGAAGGCAGATCCCCATGTGATCTGCCAGGGAGCAATGTAGGTATATACAAATCTCAATTTATAAAAGAGTTCCCAAAGCTACAGGAGAAAAAGAGAAGGGGGAAAAAAAAGAAGAAAAAATTTAGTGATTTGGCTGAGAATCAACATGCTTTGCAGTACACAAATATCCTGAGGAATTTACTGGTCATCCTAGAGTTCTCATTGATCTACCAGAAGCCTTGAGACTTACAAAAAGGATGTAACTATGAAACAAGTAACATAATATGTACTTCATTGTTCTACTAATAAAAACTCATGAAATGTTTAGGAAGTTACATATGCTTTTTCTCAAGCAAACATAAGTGCTTTGGGAAGGAGAAGTCTTAGCTGTCTTATAGCATATTGATTACAGTACCAATAGGTCTGATGATCTGGAAGACTACCTATCAGTTAGGACTACCTGTTTTCCCTTTTGGATGACCTGAAACACCTAGAAATAGAGACTTAAAGTTACCTTGCTGAAGAGTATGGACATGAAGAAGAGATCTAGCAGCATGGTCTCAGTAAAACTTTTGTAATCAAAAGTAAAGAAGAGCACTGTGAAAATAACAGTGACATACTGGCACGTTGGGCTACTGAACGATGAACGCAGTAACTTCAAGCCAGCTATTGTGATCATTAAAGCACCCAACCTGTATAAGAAATTCACACAAAACAGTTACTTATCTGCTGTCCAAAATGGTTTTAAAGACCACCTAAATTGTTGCTGTCATGCAAAGCCAATCTCTTCAAGCTCAAGGTTTAGATTTGGGTTTGCTTTTGGAGTTTTGGGGGTGAGGGGTGCTGTATGGTCTGTTGGTTTTTTAAAGACAACCAAAGATACTTTTTTTTTTTTTTAAAGGTTACTATTCAAGTCTTTCTATCAGTATTCTCAAGCCAACCAATGTTCAAGGATTAGCCTTGTTTGTAAGAGTCTTGCTAAAAAAAAAGAAGAAATCAGAGGTGAAATATCCTTGTACTCTGAACAGAAACCTGGTCTTTAATTAGGTTATGAATATTGATACGCAAAAATGCTAGAAGTGCTCTAGATTAATCAGCAAGAGGATGTTAATGAACACTGGATTATCATTATTTCCTGTATGACTATACTGCTCTAGCTTATATTGTGGGAAGTGTAACTTAACAATAACCTTAAACTTTTTCAGAGATAGTAACTGACAGATCAAAGGGTTATAAAAATAACATTAAAGTAATGTAATGGCAATACTGCTCCCAAAGGTCTTTTAGTGACAAGAGTAATGAACCCAAAGCAAGAACTTAGTAGATCCAAGGATTAAAGTTAAAACAAAAACAAACCCACAGCCAAAAAAATCCAACATCGCCCCTCCGCAATACATATTCCATTTTGTTTCAAGATTTATTTTCTCTACAACACTTCTGTTCTAAATCAGTAGAACTTTAAATCCAAAAATGCCACCTGGTCACTGTTCTTGGACGCAAAATATGCAGGGCCTATTATTGAGCTCTCATTTGCTGAGACAGTCAGATACACTGCTTGAGGGATTATAACTAAGGCTCAATTTAAGAGGCAGCATGCAATTCCATCTGGATACAGATTATACTTAGGGGCTGGGAGGCCTTGGGAATTCCTTGATGAGACCAGAAAGCTGTAGTGGGGCTGAAAGCTGGTACATGAACTCCAGGAACATTATACAAGTCTTAAATTTACACCTGACAAAAATACCAGAACATATCGTCACCACCCAGAAATTGCAGTCTGGATAATCATATTATAGACTCTGAAGATCAACAAGGAAATTCTGATATCACACTACTAAATTCTGCAACCTGCAATTTTTATAGTATATGCTAGGAACTGAATGATTTATCTTCCTGTGGGTTCCTAGTTTAACACTGTAATACTCCATTCAGTTTAGGTCAGCAAGGTGACTTGGTTCTGTAAGAGCTTACAAATAAAGAAAAACTTTCTTTATTCCTTGCCTTAGTTTTAGGGCAATAGCATTAACTGTCTTCCCATTGAGGCCAGAACTGATTATTTAATTTCCCACCACAGTAGGTATACTCAGATTACTTGACAGCCTTTTCTACTTACTCAGTATCCAGTTTCTTTGGACTAGCAATATTCTTAGCGCTGCTACTAAGCTCATTGAGGACTATCAGTGGATAGATAACATTCTTCTCTACAAAAAGGAGCCAAATGTGAAGTTTCTCAAACCACATAACATGTGCAGCATCTATCAAGACATATTAAAAAGAAGAAATCAGATTGCACTGTCAAATCAAACTCAGCTAACAGAATAAAGAGTCTTGATCCAAGTAATTTGTGGAGCCAAATGCTAACTGTATACTCATACCGGGCTTTCATAGTTTTATCTAACTGAAATAAAGAGAAGCTCCTTCTAAGCTAGTGTTGGTAGCCCCAGTAGAGTTTTTTGCACTGTTACACATCTCTATAAAATGTATTATAATAGAACAGTTCACAAGCTACTTGCTTACTGCACATGGCAGAAAACAAACTGGGCTGCCACCTCTTCAATAATTTCAACATTGATACTGATGAAAATGCATAATGTCAAACAGTTTCTCTCACACAAAACCATATTGGAACCCAAAGATTTCTGTTTACAACTCTACAATATAGAAGAGCACACATAACCTGCCAACACAAATGTCTAAGACTTAAGATTTTATTTTAAATTTCTACAGTAACTGCAAAATATATAACAGGATTGCTATGTTTCAAATTAATGCAAGTGAAAATAATGAGAAAAGTTATTTTACAAGACAGCACAAATATATGGAAGAGCCTATGTCAAAAGTTATGTTAAACCGTGCATACATAAAGGGTTAAAGGTATACTTCAAACAGGCTAGAAAAAGGCCCACCCTTCTTCATCGCTATGCCTGACTGCACATGGGACCCCCAGTAAAAACTGAAGTTCCCTTTCTGCAACAGAAGCCATAAGGACTATCAGTCACTGACATGGCATGAATTCTCTTTAAGTTCCAGGGACCAAACTGGGAGATACTACAAACTTATATTTAGCATTACTGGATACGATTTTCATCTTTCCTGGAAACACTACTACATATGGAAATATTGAAGTCGGGTATCAACAAACTGTAGCTTCTCTAGTTTCATAGATTTAAAAAAAAAAAATCTAAGGCATACAATTGCATTTCTCGCTTCTCCTCTATTTAGAGTTTGGCATCATATTACAGTTACTACTCATATTTATCCATCTTTATACCCAATGACTGAAAAAAGCCCACAATTTAGACATCTGTGAAAAGACCACACTACATAGCTGCTACAAAGGCAATAAGTTTACAAATCAATTCTGGTAATTCTCTGCTCCTGAAAGCAGCAGAATGCTCACTTTCTTTTCATTACTGTCTTACCTTGAAAACTAACTGAAGAGAAAAAACAAAATAGCTTCAGTTGTTTCTAAGCCATTTTTGATACAAATTCTTAAGTCTGCTGTTAACAAAACATTCCAACAGTGGGACACCCCAATCTACTGCTACATTTATCCATACTAGAAAACGGAGCAGCAGTATAAATAACTTGGTACTTCGTGCAGCCTTCAGGGAAAGATTTCATGGAAACATAGACTTTAACACGAGGTGCAAGTGCATGTCTATGCAGATCAACTAGCAAGACTGGTCCCTTAGTGTGTTTTTTCCATTAGCAGGCCATTTGCACTACTTTGTTGTTAAACGTGTCGACAATACTATTAAAAATCAAATCCTTGCCAAGATGAAATCTCCAACAGCATTCACCACACCTACCCCTCTAAAAAATTCAAAAACTTACTATCTTGAAGAAATACCTAGTGAAACACACTCTACCTTTATTAAAAAAAAAAAAAAAATTAAGGCTATCACTAGCAAAAATTTTGCAACTTAAGATTTTGAAGACTGTGGTTTAATGGAACTGTTCTAAGATAATGTTAGCATATATAATACATTATCATCATCAGTTAAAAGATACATAAAATGTGATGGAATCAAAGCATCAGGAACTGAGAAAAGGCATTTCTAGATTAGATGTCATTAAATACTCCAATGGTGAGAATAATAAGGAAAAGAGATTAAAGTGTATCAATAGGTAACACAAGTTGGTCAGCAACTACAGCAAGTTCAAAAAAGCGTCAAGAATGATACTTACTTCGAACTTCAAACTGATAGTATTCCTTGGTTTTCAGCAGCGGGTGAGAAAAGCAATGCCAAGGAAGTTGCTTCCGGAGTTGAGGCAGAACATAATGGGTCACAAAGCCTACCGTACCCACCAATGCATAGAGTACATAACTTAAAATAGGCTAAAAAGAAGAATTGAAGAAATTACCGTTTGTGTTTTGTAAACAAAAATCACACACTAATAATGTAATACCTTTTTCAGCATCTAGGCAAGTGCTTCTGTAATAGTAAGTTAGGAATGTATTTCTTCATGAGAAGCTGTACTACCAACTTTAAGATCAAACAAGAAATGCCTGTGAGAGAACAAACCATCTATTTCTAACAAATTTTCACTAAATCGAGAAGTACTTTAAAGTAAAAATAGTACACCAATCCTCCTTCATAGTCCATTGCTTCTGAACCATCTGCATTTCATTTTATAAATCATAAAGCTATTATCATCTAAATGTTTAACCCAATTTATGTTTTCATCTGCTGGATAAAAGGAGGTATAAGCATAAAGAAAACCAAATCATTAACCTTAGATTCTCTTGAGAAGGTGAATAAGAAGCCTGCCATTAAGACCAAAGACTCTTTCACAGAAGTCACAAAAGACTACTATAATAACATAGTATGAGGACTGGATTTTACAGTAATGCTTTCTATATATTAAAATTTTATCTGAATTTCTAGATAAGTTATAGCAAAATTAGGATTGCATTACCTTGTTATAGGCTCTTGATTCAGAAATTCTGCGAAGCCTAAGCCTACTGAACTATACAACTGCTGAAGAGCATATAGTCAAGTTTCTCAAATGTGGGAGAAAGCAACACTCAGGAGGAATGCTGAAGTCCAGCCATACAACAGAAGAGATATTTTCCTTAGAAAAAACTCATACACTTGCTTAAGGAGGACACTTCACCCAAAAACCTGAAGCTACCTAAATGCATATGCTTTTTAAAATTAGTTAATTTTAACTGTATGCAGCAGCAGGAGGGTAAAATCCTTCTAAAATACATGCAAGAAACTTTTATTTGCTTAGCAGAGGGCTTTTCATAAGCTAACTAATGGTTCCGTTACAGGAATATCAAAATAAATTCAGTAACTGCAACTCTTTAGGCAAATGCCTTAAATTCAAGCACAGAATCTGGTTCCATGTCATCATCATCAAGTAGGAGTCGTATTATACACATGAAAACTATCCAAAGCAGTAATATTAGCTAGACTGACAAGTAAAAAACTCGAAACTCAAAGGCTCTTTGAAGTCCTGTAAATAACCATTCCAGTAAAGAGGTACTCCCCTCTACTACAGTCTACAAGCAGCCCTGCTATCATGCAACCGCTGAGTCAAGGTTCAGCCCCTCAATCTTTAAGAATCAAACTTTTAGAACTTTTTTTTAAAAAAAGTTTCATTTTTCCTTACTCCAAAATGATCCTGACACTATTTAACTGAAATAGATGAAGCAAAAAAGGGTATTTTGTGTCACAGACTAAAATAAAAATCCAGAATGTAAGAAGAAACAAGGAAAATGCAGGGAAAGAAGAGGTTTTGAACACATAAAACTGAAATGCGAAGATCTTCAGTCATGTACTTGTCACACTACATATTTAAAGACCATCTAAAACTAGTCAGGACAGACGGTGCACTACCACAATGAGTGTTATACGATATTAGAGTACTTGTATATAGAAGACAAATGGTAGACATGATGGAACACCTTACCTGTAAAACTGTAAATACTGTACTGACGTGAATTGCAAAATAGAGTACACCAATGACTATACACACAATCAGGTCAGACTGCAATCGTTCACTCTGCGAAGTCAAAACAAAATAATTTCAGAAAATATCAGCCTTGGTTGCCCTCTTCAGATTCTTAATGCCCATCAGCAATAAAACTGATTAAAGATTTTCAAATTATGCCAGTATTAACTACTTCCATAGAAATCATCAGAAATTTCACAAGAGAAATCTTATGGCTAAGAGTATAAGTTTAAATGAGTTAAGTGGAAAGATGCATACCCAAAGTGGGGCAGGAGAAATTAATATACCCACTATATTCTCTCTCTCATTCTGGAGTGTAAGAGGGTACAAGGAACCCCACCCCAGCACTGATGAAAGAACTGGAAGGGCTAACCAAATTTGCTGTTTATGATCTAAGAATTGCTTACATTATTGGGCAATTAAGAGCTAACCACCAGGTGGAACCAGGCTCTTCAACCCCTTTTTCCCCCTCCTTTGCAGAAAGGTAAAGGATAGCTTTGGAATGACCCTAAGTAATGAGTTTGAATCTTCCATTACCCCTAAACATGAAGACAAGCAATAACGGGCAAAAAATAACAAAACTAGTAGTTCCAGACTCAGTCACAAGGGGGCAATATGTACTTAGGGCCACTACAACTCGGAGTCTCCAAGTTTAGACCTGTTCCCACTCTGTACACTGAGTATTAATACTTTCAGCCCAGAAAATCATTAAAGGATTAACAACTCCAAAACCGGCCAAATAATTACACACAGCAAGTATTGCTGCAAAGTCTTAACTTCTTGGGATACAACTTATTTTTTTTAAATCAGTAAGTCCCGATTTTAAAACCACTGAAAGAATCTATCATAACCCTTAGCTCTCCCGCCTTCTGGGTGACCAACAACACGGCTTGAGAGCTGAAGAGGAGCTTGCAGCTCCTATGGTCATTCTCTCCTTTTAAGCATTAAAAGAACTGCAGTTTCTCTGTTCTACATACTTACTTGCAGTTTCCACACACTGCACCTTGTCACTGTACTATGAGAAACCCATCCATACTGTTATTCCCCTACAGCGAAGCCCTACACAAGGTTAAATGGATGTTCAACCTTCTTTTGTACAAGTTAAACATACTAAGCTTCTAAAGTCTTTCACTTACTGCTCCATTGTGTGGAAAAGAATAATGTTTAAATATTACTACTTTCATAAATATTTGGAGTGACTTTGTACTAAAAATCCAAAGTGTGTGCTAAAGTAAGTGGAACAGGTTACATCTGCTTTTAAGAAAAAAAAAAAACACAAAAAAAACCCAAACCAACCACAAAAATGAGGAAAAAAAAAAAAAAAAAAAAAAAACACCCAGAACTTTCCCCCAGTTTTTTTTTATTTTCTGCTTCCAGAACAGCACAAAGCTCCTGCTCACAATTACTAGAAACACCAAGTTAATAAAGTTTTGCCACCATTAACTTCTGCACAAACGCAAGCATCGTTTGTTATTATCAATGAGTGGAAAAAAATTCTCAATGACACTTCACTGAATTCACACTAGGGAATTCCAGTTCTCTCACATGCCTCCTTCTAAATAACTTAAAGTGCAATATAAGCATTATACTCATAGTGTAGTACATTGGTTCATCTGCAAATTTAAAGGAAATGCTCTGATACCCATTCTAATCAACAACATGGTAATTAACAAGTGTCATGAGCTAAGTAAGATTGATGCTATACAAATCAACATAAGATAAATGCTTAGATTTAATTAAAAATAATAATAATTTAAGAGCCTACTTACCACAGAATTTCTAAGCTTTTCAGGTAAAGGATCTTTTACTTCAGACAGAGGATCCTCAGGGTTTTTGTCTTCAGAATTAGGAAAAAATTTTGATTGCACTAAAGAGCTTAAAAACAGACAAAAAAGAACCCACTGAAAAGCATGTCTCATTCTGTTATTCTTCTAAAACTACATAAAGCCAAAAGTTCTACTACAAGTTGATTGTAAGAAAAAATAATCCTGGCATATTAGTGCTTTCACATGGCTGAGCAAATGTATGAAGATAAGACCTCAACTTTCTATAAAGGAACTAGTTCTCTGGTTGCATACAATGACCACCATTAAAGATGAGTAGCCAGATGTTGTTCAAACAGCAGTTTCTCCAGTACCAATAGGAGTAACTAAACAAATACTGAATTTTAAGTGGAGTTCTTTGTATTCATGAAACAAAATCCTGGGCTGCATCAGAAGCAGTGTGACCAGCAGGTCGAGGGAGGGGATTCTGACCCTCTATGCTGCTCTGGTGAGACCCTCCCCTGCAGTACTGCCTTCAGCTCTGGGGCCCCCAACACAAGGAGGTCATGGACCCGTTGGAGAGAGTCCAGAGGAGGCCACGATGATGATCCGAGGGCTGGAGCACCTCTCCTATGAAGGCAGGCTGAGAGAGTTGGGGTTGTTCAGCCTGGAGAAGACAAGGCTCCAGGGAAACCTTAGAGCAGCCTTCTAGTACCTAAAAGGGCCTACAAGAAAGCTAGGGAGGGACTTTTTACAAGGGCAGGTAGTGATAGGACAAGGGGCAATGGCTTTAAACTGGAAGGGAGAAGATTTAGATTAGATATTAGGAAGAAATTCTTCATGGTGAGGGTGGTGAGGCAGTGGAAAAGGTTGCCCAGAGAAGCTGTGGATGCCCCATCCCTAGAAGTGTTCAAGGTCAGGTTGGATGAGGCTTTGAGCAACCTGGTCTTCTGGAAGGTGTCCTTACCCATGGCAGGGGGGTTGGAACTGGATGGTCTTTAAGGTGCCTTCCAACACAAATCATTCTATGATTCCATGAAAACTTTAGTTCATAAATAACCGAACAGAAATATAACTTGGTGAAAGTTTAGAAGTGGTCTATTTGTCAACATCAATTAGAAAACCACGAATTCCGTGGTTTAATTCAAACTTAAACAGCAACAACAAAAAAATAATCTATACTACCCTGATTAATTCATGAATTAGCCATGTTGACCAAACTACTAAATTCTTAGCAGACCTTGCTGGTACTAAAGCCCAAACAACTTATACCTAAGCTTTCAGAAGACCATATGCAGCACCGCTAGCCATACCTAAGTGTCTCTCAACCCCTCAATGTGATTTTTTTTTTTTACAATATCCTATGTGGTACAGAAATATGTATTATTTCATTTTATGGACAGGAAGCTTACTACAGAATGAGCCCTGGACCTTCAAAGGCAATTACATATTGCAATGTATTGTAATGCTTAACTGTGCCATATCTGGCTAAACAGATGAACCAGCAGGTCAAACATAAGCATCCAGGCTATAGTACGTGGAAAGAACAAAAGAACAGGTATCTAGAGACAAGGACCTCATACCAACTGAGTAAAGTCACCTGAACTAAGAGTAACAGGACAAGGTTTAGTTGTCAACCCAAAGATAAGAATTTTCCTTCTGTGTGAACACTCATGAATTATTGATCTCCCTGATCACAGAAGAGGCCCCTCACTATCTACCCCAGACTACTGCTTATCAAATTCATCCAACATCATGGCTAAACTTAAATCCAAGTTCAAGCTCTGCCTAATCCAGTTATGTGACTGAGTCTCTATTGGCTATTCTGCAGGAGGTGTTTCTCCTACTGGAACTACTTTGTTTTACACAAGTAATTATTAACCGAATCAGAAATACTCTCATCATCAGATCAATACTTCAGCTCAGAATAGCAACGTGAATACATGTTTCCTCATGCTAGATGGGAACACCCATCCCCAAAAGAGATCCTTAATTATTTTGCATTCAAGATGAAATTATTTGAACAACTGCTTTGAGCATACATTCAAGATAAGAACACAGTAACAAATTCAGTGAGAGAAACAGTTCAAAACAATCCACCTGTGGGCTTCAGCTTAAACCAGCACTTTGAGCACCTCTTTAAAAACAGAATGGGTACAGGTTGTTCAGCACAAACATACCAGTAGAAAGATGGCACCTGACTAGCATTTTGGAGAACATCAGCAGGCAGTTAAATCAGATTTTAGCATGTAAGTGATTTGCCAGAAGTCACACAGAAAGGCTGTCATTAGAGGAGGAATTAGGTGCAGAATTTGAGAATTTCTCTCTAACTACTGAACCAATATCATACTATCTTTGATAATGTTGGTGACTACCAGTGCAAACAGTACTAATATCCAACATAATTTATAATGTTCCTTTGCAACTTGCTTCTTCCTTGGGGAAGGGACGCAAACTGAGTCACTTACAAAAGTACAGAAGGGTCACTACTTTGTCTGCTGAGATGATACGATATTGCCACTAACAAACCACAAAATATGGAGAAGAGAACTGGAATATGCTGCCCATCCCAAGAATCCTGGAGACAGAAATAAAATGTTAATAAAAAGGATACAAAGTATATAACACTTATCTGACATACAGGAATTATGTATATCATAGTAAGAGAACGGAAAAAATTAACTACACTTCCACAAAAGTGAAATAGGACTTTTTAGTACAAAAATACTATTCCATATTTACCTATGTCTAACTATAGATCAGAAACTCTAACATAGCATACAACCCTTAAGCCTACACCATCTTAATAATTAAGGAGTCATCAAGTTTTCATAATCCTTATGAAAAATTTCCTGCATTCCTTGAGATCACAGGTTCTTAGAGCTGCATTTAGTCAATTCTTAACTTTGAAAGTTATGTATGTTTTTAGTCAGATTAATTTTTTTCTCATGTACTGAATTCTGATTAAACCAGTGGTTTTATTTTTGTTTTCATGATCTGTACTGGATCTGCAAGGATGAAACAGTGATTCTTTCCTAAAGCTTGCTTATCTTGAACCAGTGTGTTTACAAAAGGCTAATGAGACAAATGTACAAATTAACAGAAAGCTAATGATGTTCTGCAGGTGATAGCATCATGGCAGCATTTCCTCTAGCAACTTGTGACTGAGTGGAAAAAAGCCAATCAACTCTGAGCTGGAAGGCACACATGCTGCCATTAATTGTGAACTGAGAGCATTTGATTATTGACACACACCTGAAACCAACAAAGCCAACACTACACTGTTTTCAAACAGAATGGCATTTCAAGCAAGGAAAAACTGTTGGGTTTGGGTCCCCCCCACTCCCCACCCTTGCCAGCTAACTCTACCTTTTAGATAGGCACACATCTTCACTTTGACACTACAAACCATTTCCTGGTTTCTTTTCAAGTAAAGATTAATTTGAAAAGAATATTTCTGGTTTGCAGTACTGGAAAAAATACATAAGCCATTTTGAGAAGTTAACAAACCAACACCTTAAGACTGTACTAGAAACAGATCACTTAAGTGATTTTTTTTTTCCAAGGACCAATGTAGAATGGAACTAATGGTAATTGTCATGTGGTTTTGGTCAATAAATAGTATAAAAAAAACCAACACACAAAAACCACACACAATCTGTTACAAGCACAAATCCTACACCTTTGAAAAGCAAAAAATCTCATTTGTTCCTGTATTGCATCTCCTTTATTGACATCACAGCTGAGCAAGCATAAAATCATACCAAATCAGACTAGTATTTCCAATTCACTTTCTGCATATTTAAGTATCTAAGATACAAGGAAGCAACAAAATCCAGAACATGAATGTATGCTGTGTCTAAAATTTTGCTCACCTTTAGGGCACCATAGCACAGTCCATATAACAATGCTACTGCCACAATACTACAGATAAAACTGTAAAGTGCTGCAAGCAGGCTTGTGGTAGCTGAATATCATAGAAGAGAAAGAAAAATTGAACAGTGTTATGTAATAAGGTTAGAATACAAAATATTTCAGATTGTTTAAGAAAGGTATCAGCCACCTAGTTGCAGTACCCCTCTGATACAAAAAAAACCCCAACCCACAGCAGCTACTTGTATTTTCCCCTACAAATGAATTTTTTTAAGGAGTAATTTATGTGGCTTTACGTCCTCACCTATTCAACAGCATTACCATGGGAACGGTTATCAACTGCAACAGAAACCAGCTGAGGAATAAAGTATATTTTTTGACAGACTTACTAGGACAGTAATTCTATTTCTCAATAATCAATCAGAAGAGCTTTAGCTTTTTTAAAAATACAATTAGTATTCTATGTTCAGAGGGTAGGAATACAAACAGTGTAACCACTAGATTTTTTTAACTAGCCTACTAATCCGGTAGCTGCTCCTAATCTAATGCTTTGGCCACTGACATAAAAAACAACACTCACCATTGCCACCAAAGACATGAATATCCAGCTGTTCACAGAGATACATCACAAATGTATTCACCTGAGGCAGGAGACCAATGAAGAATACTATAGGGAAACATAGTGTAAACACTACGGAGGAAAAAAAAACAATAGTTCAAAGTCGTGAATATGAAACATACAGCATGGTAATGTACTCTTCAGTTTAAGTTCTAGGGTATCACACACCATTTAAGGCAACACTGCTGAAGTATTTCTACTATTAATTCAAAGGAAAACATCCATTAAGTAGATCTCTACTTCAATGACTCAGAACTGACTGACTACAGAGGTTACAGAGACCAATAGTCAGAAGATTTCTTGTACTTCCATTTTAATTGGTGTAGAAATGGACATAGGCCAATTCAGGCTTTGCATTTCTATCTAGCAAAGATCAGCCAAGAGTGTTTACAGATTAGAAGATTTGTAAGTTTTCACTCACTGTACATGAGGCTTATCCAGGCCTAACTGCCTGTCTGGAGTCACAAGAGCAAGCTAACACCATCCACACCGACACAAGTGAGGCCAAGCATTTCACCTCCAGGTTTTCTGCCACTAATAATGTCTGGCAATTTTACTCATTCTTCACACCACTTCTGAAAAGTCCTGATCCTAAATGACAACTTTGGTTTTGTGGTTTCGGGTTTTTTTTGTTTTTGTTGGGTTTTTTTGGTTTTTTTGTTCCATTTTTTTGGTTTTTTTTTAAATGAAAATGGGTAACTATGAACCATTAAAACCTCTCCAAATTACAGGACTTAAAAACACAAACATAAGTGAATGCCACTTGATTTTAATAGAGAGAATGGTATGTCTCAACCTGTACATATAATTTATTTTCCATCATAAGGAATAAAAGATGCAGAAATAATATTTTTACACAGCTGTTAAGTAGTTCGGATATAATTCACGAGTAGCAGCATATCATAAGTTCTAGGTTCTGAGGGATAGAAGGTTCAAACCATGAAAATAACCCTAGCAGACAAATATCTGCCAGTTTGGGGAGGATTTTCTATAACATCATTGACCTGTAGCTTCAGTGACCAAAAGAAGAAAATAATTTTCAAGTATCCTGTAAAATTAAGACTTGTGATTCTTTAAGTTTCTAGCTTTATATCCATAGAATAGTCAGATACTAAAGGATATCACATTAGAAATATCCACAGTGAGATAGGTACTGAGAATCTGTTGGGTTTTTTTTCCCCCTCCGACTCTTTGGTGAAGTTAAATAACTAAATGTTAATTAAAAACATGTAGGTTCAGGGCTTGGAAAAAACATTGAGTTCTGCATCTTTTTACTGATACAAATTAGGAAATGTAAAGACTAAGAATCAGCTACTCAGGATCTGAAGAAAACATTTTTCAGAATTCTGAAGTCAAACCTTTATCTCAAATCATTACTCAGGAAAGCCTACATAGGACGCAAACAATAAAGCATTCTCTCACTGACAGGTTAAAAAGTTGTTTTGTGAAGGCCTGTAAGCTCAACTGTCTTGGGTTCATTGAAAACAAAATTACAAAACAGATCTGGGAACACATCATTTATAAAGAGCAGTCCAGCAAAAAGCCAACATTTCTGATGGCTTTTAAAGTCCATAACAGAATTGTTCTCTAATGGGGACCACCTAGGTGAAAACAGAAAATAATTGTTATACATATGGAGCAGAATTAGACCAACTGATCAAGTCCATTATGTGGCACACAAAACAAATAAATAAAAAATTTATACCTGTCCTTACTTGTCTGCTGGCAAGGACACAGCAGTTATGTTATCTAAACACAAAGTTTGCCTTGCCCTGCACCTGTGTTGTTCTAGTAGCTATGTCTGGGAATGGGAAAAAAGGCAGCTGAGATTTTTACTTTGTGCTAACAAAGTATGTTTGCTAGCAGCCAGCTTGCTTTATGGTACACACAAGGCTTTTTGAAACAGTGCTTCAGCAACATTAAGAGCAGCTCCAAAGGCAAGGGTGTGCGTGTGTGTGAGGGGGGGCAGGGAGGGAGGGGTTTGGTTTATTTGGTGGGTTTTTTTGGTTTGGTGGGGTGGTTTGTTTTGGTTTTGGGTTTGTTTTTTTTTAAAAAAAAAAAAAAAGTGAGACCTGTTCTGCCAATCTGATTTCTTTATTGGCAGAACTGCTAAGAAATATAAACCACATAAGCTGGTGCAAGATACCCAAAAAGAACAGTAAAACATAAGGATTAAAAAGCATTCAGAACTCTTGAACTAGTAAATTTTAAAAGCTAATCCCAAAATGGACATGGCCTTGTGAAGATGCCAGCATGACTTTTTAAAACTGGAAAAGACTCTTAAGCACCATTTAAAAGTAGGTCACTTTCACAATACCACATACCACCTACATATACATTTATGTATTACCTTATGGGTATACAGGTATACATTCTGGCAATGACTCAAGGTGGTACGAAAGGGAAGAAAAGACTGCTGAAACTGACAGAGTATGGACAAAGGGAAACGAAGCTAGTTTCATATCTTGAATGAGACTAAAGTATCTGCTGTATTAACTTTTTCTATCACAGATATAGAACGAAGTATGTCAGCACATGAATAGATCCACAAAATGAATAGATCCATAGAATCTGTAGAAAAGCACCTTTGGAAATGCCTGGACAATACTCTGTTCATAAGTGGCTTAGACATTTTCCCTCTGGACATTTAAATTTAAATATAGATCTACTAGCAGAAAGTCGAAGTGGGAAACAGTATGAGGTATGAAATTCAGGATGTTCCTAAAAATCAAGAAATAAAACTTAATTCTCAAAATGCCATAAGCCAAAAAAAAAAACCCAACCCCAAAACAAAATAAGTTTGATTTTTTTCTTGGACAGAATACTGTCCAAGAACTGGAGGCATGCAGTCCAGTCATAGCATTTAACTGCTGTAGTCTTTCACGCACACATATTTTGGTACAACTGAAAAGCAAGTGTGTTCAATTTAGATGAATTCTTACAGATTTTCCTCCCTCTCCACAGAGGTGATCCAGAGAGGATCACTCAAATAACTCTGCTCCATTAAAGAATATGCACAAAGTTCCCATGATAAGATGGTCACCAAATGTTTACATTCTCCCTCTCCTTTCTATGGGCTCTGCTCAAGTAGCTGTTACTATTTTCAATAAATTTTATAAGTAAACAAGGGAAAGGTTTGTTGCTTTTTTGGGTGTGGCTTTTTTTTTTGTTGTGGTTTCGTTTTTTGGGGTTGGGGGTGTTAAATGCCAGCAGTAGCAGTATTGTGAATGCATTGTGCTGTTCAGAATACAATGAAAGCACCTCATACAGCTCAAAATTATATTTTTGATATTGCTGATAGGTCTGTTCTAAGAGACACATTAAATAAGATTTAATCTGTCTATAATGTTTTCAAAAATTGCACCCATACTGTTCTACTTGATTGCTAAACACAAATAACCTGATTTAAGAGAACTCCTACTCATTTGCCACAAGCCCCTCTAACGAGTACGAAAGAGTCCAAATCAAAACATTTCTTTAAGTACTGAGCAGCTAGGTCCAAGTACAGGGTACCACATCCGGGTGTATGTTAAGAAGAAACAACAGCAGGTTCAGAGATGAGGATAAGATACTAGATAATTAAAAAGCTAAAAATATATTTTTTCCCCCCCTATGACACCATATTAGTTGACATCTCTGCAGTTCGTTACAGCAAGGCTATAGCGGGGGGAATTTGCCCATAAACTTCAGCAAAGCCAGAATCACTCTTAAAATTAAATCAACTGCATTTAGAAGGCGATAGTGCAACAGTGTCATAACAAGATGCAGAACAACCCAAAAAAGATTTCTACTGTGGTGAAGCAAACAATTCAAATCCATGAAAAAGCCACTCACCTATAACTAAGTCCCTGGCTGACAGCAGCAGCAATGGGTTGGTGAAAGCCATTCCATACAACCTGAATCTTGTTGTAGATATGTGTCTGCTGCCATAATCCAACAGCCAAATAAGACCACAACATAAACAGAAATATACAGGCCTACTGTAGGCTATGATACGATTATGACCCTGTTTAAACAAAAAAAAAGAACATTTGTTTCACTATTAGCAGAAAAAGTAATCGGTACTCTTCTGTTACAGATAATTTCAGAACTAAAATTAATCATTGCTCGTCAATTATGTCACCTCACCACATCCTTAAGTTTTATTCATAAAACCCTTAATGCATTGCCTTGCAGTGATACAATTTTTGTGTGTGTGGCTTTAATGTAACGAGGACACCACAGTTAGATTAAGTTAGACTAAGCAATATTCACCCTTATTCTCTGCTAAGTTTTAAAGTATGTTTCTTGCAATACTAAACGCCAGAGAAACTCTGACTAGGCTTCATAAGCAAGAAAAAATATATTAATTTTGAAGAAAAAGCAATTAAACTTTATTACACAGATACTGCTCCTGCCGGGGCAGGGGGGGGGGGGGGGGGTGGTGGTGGTGGAATCTGTATTTGTTTGTTCATTGAAACATACAATCTAAAATAATATTAATTACTTGCTGCAGAGGAATAATGCTTTTTCATATCTTATTTAGTACATAACAAAAATATTTTGTCCTGGCAACCTAGCAGATGCACAACAGAATATAAACATATTGTGCAACACTAGCACATTAACATTTCCATGCTCAAATGTTAATGCTCACTACAGCATTGCAGACTCAGCTTAACAGAGTGAAAAAATAAGGCTGTGCGCGCACTAGGACAACTGAATGATCTACAAGAACAGAATAGAACATCAAAGCTGTGTCAGCATAACAAATTACAAAGTTAAGAATACTTCTCAGTATAATTGCTGGAATACTAAAGATTCATCAAAAAACCTATCATGACATGGCTCTACAGCAAAAGCTAGGCTTAAAACAGGGAGGACACGACTTGTTAAATACAAACAAAGCACATGGGGGGGGGTGGAAATAGTATCAGTCCCCTTCTCACACACTAGAGACAACATAAGCCTCTTGTGCCTTGTGAGAAGACACGTAAGAGAAATGCTGAAAAGATCAAACCAAAAAGATCAGTTCCCTACAGAAGCTCTACATCTGCAGGGTTAGTACAATGGCACACGCCCATGACTTACATGTCGAGGGGAAGAGGAATCTGGCTGAACACTCTGAAACCAAAATAGAAAGAGGAGTTACCCAGTCTACAGATAAGTGCATTTACCTCCACACACACACTTTCTTGATTAAAATTCTTTTAATAATACCTACAGTTAATTTTACAATTGTCAAACCACTCCACAGCCTTTAAACAGTATGATATATTAAACCATAAAATCTGTTTAAACAGTATATGTCTATAGCCACAGCTTAAAAAAACCCAAAACCTCATTTTTAGAACTTTTACCCTTTTTTGAACACAAAATGTGTTATGCACTGTAATTTTAAAATCTACTTTCCACTCTAATAGTCTAATCATATGGAAATAAACAATCATTCTTAAATTACAAAAATACCATTAACAATGGTGTAATAAATATTAAGATTCTGATTAAAAATATGCTTAGATATAATTGCTTAATATGAATACATTGAGGTGTATCTGCTAAAAAAAAGGAAAAAAAAATACAACAAAAAAATCCCACCAAAACAATAAAAATTCAAATTTAGTTTGTAGGCTGTTTTCAATCAGTAAGAATGTGCTCCTCTTTGGGAAAACAAAAAGTGCATGAGAACAACAAATAAAAGGTTATTTAACAAACATACACAGAACCATTCTAGTGAAGTGACCTTGTATGACCAATTGATTAAACTTTCCATGAAGCTGAAGTTTACTCATTTCTTTTTACATGATAAACATGCAGTTTTTTCCTTAAAGCTCCAACTAACCTGCAACACCCAACCAAAATTATTTATATTGTTTATAGAAAGTGAAGATAGAAACTAGAATACCTTCAACAGCGAGTACTGACAACTGGCTATTACCAGGCAGAACTGGAAGACCCAAATATCCTTGAAAAAGCCCTCTATAAGAAGTACAGAGCCCAGAAATGCAACTAGAATAGCTAGGATGACAGCTAACACGTTTTCAAGGATCTCACGATTCCTGTATTAGAGGAGAGAAAAAAAAAGAAAAAAGAAAAAAAAGACACACAATTAACAGCTAACTATGTCTAGAAAAAGCTGCAAGGGAACAGTTAGGGTCAGAAATTAACAACAGTTATGCTGCTGGTAGCAAAGTAGTTAAGAATAGATTTGAACTTGCACAGACTACACTAGCACACTGTCTTTTAGCAAAGCTAGGAGCTACCAGGATTTCAATAATAGCTGAAAGCAATTAGTATCTTACAGAATTGAACTTTAAACAGCAGAAGATAACTTCAGCAGATAACTTCAGCAATAATTCAAATGCTCAACCAGAAGCATGGTCTGTAACATAAATCTATATTCGAGGCCCACACAGGATGATTACAGCCTGTGAAAAACATAGGCATGGTAGCTTACCTGTATAGTCTGCCATTCATGATTTCGTAATGAAGAAACTAAAGATACTCTCACTTGGCTAAGATACGCCAAGTGCAATAAAGAGAATTCCTATGATATTGGTAGTGCTTAGGAACAGAATTAATACTATTTCTGCCTGTGCAGAATCATAATTATATTGTTTATGTCAAAGAAGTTAATTACAAAAATTTAAATAGTCTCTATATTTCAAAAGCTGG